TAAATTAAGTAAAAACCCAATTTTTAATAAATTAAGTAACTTATCGGCGAATTTCTACTTTACGCTTATCTTGAATGTTAATATTTTTTCCGTCGTGTGACCCTTCGAAAAATTATCATTTTTATATATAGCAATATAACTAGGAAATAATTTTATGTAAAAATCTAATTATTAATAGAGCTTATTTTTTTTATAAATAAAAATTCATAGAAATTCAAATGGAAAATTTCAATTGGAAATTTTTTTGCATTCTTAGAAAACAAATTTAGTAATATCTTAAGGAATCTGTAGTAGTAAAGATCTATTAAATTTGATTATATTCCACCTTATTTCCATAGCGTTCAATTATTGTGTCAAAGTTTAAAATATTTTTCAATTATATACCAAGCCATTTGTAAACTAAAACTTACTTAAATCAAATTTTAGTCTAAAAACATCAATTTATAGGAAATCTTAAAATAAAATTAATTATTTATATACATATGTGTTTTGAATGAATCGGCTTGTTAAAGAACAAAAACATTTAAGAACATATTGTACTTTACAAACACAAAGGACTCTTTAATTATAAATAAAAGATATTCGTTTAATTGAAACATATACATTTTTAGGTCAGTACGTCGTACTCGGTCAATTTTTGTTACCGTCAAACTATGTGATTTATGCAACAATTTTTAACAAAATAAAATACTAAACTACTTTTAATTTTGTCACCAGTGCACAATATATTATATTAAGTAATAATCGTATTACTTATTTAGAATCAAAGCACGAATACTATATTTTAGGTATCTTCGACAATATTAATAAATGTCATACCGATACAAATGATTTCTATTTAAAAAACCATATGAAAGAGTGAAAATAAAAATGATTTTTATTTGGTAAAAAATGTTGTTTTACGATGCGTATTTGTAAAACATTATTTCAACAATAACAGATGTTTAAGCATCCGGATACACATATTTATCATTTTTTGGTGCTCTATATTCAACTGATTGAATGCTACTTCTGCATGTAGCATAATATACGGGAATTCAGGCCAGTTGAGTAAATAATTACTTTCGCAAATTATTTATAGAAATTGATTTTTTCTAAAATAATATACACGTAACGAATTCTAATAACATACTCAAATATCATGATAATGATAAATGTTATTATTTCGCTTACAATATTTTCTAAATTAATTTAAATTAACTTTATAATTGTACTCGGTAGCAACCAAATTCTCATTTTTATTCTCTATATTATGCAGAATTTTCAATTCATTCAATTCAAGAATTCAATTCAATTCAAGAATATTAACAATTACTATAGCATTTTAGAAGCAATTCTAAACGTAACTTAATATTAATAAGAATAGTATTAATAATATATTAACCTCAATTATATTTGACAAAAGGATTACACGAAAGGTTTATTGGAATATACGTTATACTAATGACGTTATTTAAGTAAATAAATGTTTTGAAATAAAATACATAAATGGAATGGTAACTAAAATAAATATTATTTTAATCCTATTACGTTAAATAGAAATTTTTTAAAATAATAGTTTATACTGGCAGTCGATGAAATGTCTTTAAAATAAAAAAAAAAAAAATAAAACACAATGTGTGTAATATGTACGATGTTTTTATGAATTTTCATTTATTTATAGAAACTCAAATTAAAGATCCAATAGATGATGTACATTTTGAAAAATTATATATCTACTTATACAGATTGTAACAATTCAAAACGTAAACCATTCATTGGACAAAATTTTATGACTGTGTTTTTTCAATACTATAAGAAATCTTAGGCGATGGATAAATAGGCTAGCAATGCTACACTAACAATTTATAATAATTTCCACAAGTTCATTACACTTTAAACTTTAACATATTTCAGACTTTTCGTTTTTTTTTCTTCGTTTTTTAAAATTCTTTTTATGTCTACTTTACATCTTTACTTTTTTTTAAATTATTTGAAACTTTTACCACTTTTTCAAAATATAAGATATAATTTTCTAATGTCAAAATGAAACTTGATTTGTTGAAAAAAATATTTTACTAATAATAATTTAACGGAGAGTGCTTTAAATGAATAAATATTATTGGTGATGATTTAAAACGTATTATATAAGAAAATTAAGAGCTTAATAAATAGGATTGGTAGATGTTTTTTTTAATATTTGAATAATGCACACGTTACTAGTTTACATTATAGAGTTTATTATATTCAGCGATTAAGCCTATTGAGAATATTGAGATAATTTTTTAGATGAAATATTACCATGAACTTTTGCAATTATAAATATATGTAATTAAATTGTTTATGAGAATTAATATTTATCTACAATTAATTTAATAAATGTTTCTAGTTCCATAAGATAAATCAAACCCTAAAATTAAACCCTTTAACATTACTAACTTTCTAATTGTTTTTATTCAATTACATATAAATTTTTTATAATGTAATTAACCAACTATACGATCGATATTCTTAGTGATATTAATAATTGGTAAGCATATGAGATGCGATAAAAAGAGAAATACCGGCATAGCCTTAGTAAAAAACAAATTATATTACTTATCAGTACAATTATATATTTTACGTGACTTGAAGTTTTTACGTGACTGAAAGCTTTTACGTGACTGCGAAATTGAAACTCGAAACGTTTTGCCTGCGACTATGTATGCATGGAGTTGTCGATGCTTGTAAATCATTTGGAAAATTTACGTTTCTCGAAAAGAAATAGAAGAAGTTACCTCTTTGAAATTCACCTTGAAATTCTGACGTACCAAATCTACAGTTTACGAATAAAAAAGTAAGTTTTTGAGTTATGTGCAAAATCGTATACAAATATAATATATTGACAGGATTGTAAATGTTTTGGCTAAATAAGTACAATATCTTAGTGTATTTTATCTAAATAATACAATAAATTTCGATATCTTATTATTTTATTGAAATATTATTTACGACATTAACGACCAAGTGTGTTTTGTCTTTAATGATTTAATTGTCAAGAATAATAGTAATTATTAATTTTACAAAGTATATAGAATTAGAAATATTGTATAATCATAAGTATGAAACGAATAAGCTAATAATACGAAAATTATTACATTTTCATCTTCTTTAGTATGTTTAAGTCTAGTTAAGCAATTATATGCAAATAATTCTCGATAATTTAAAAGAAATGTATACTCATGGAATAATGAAAATCATTTTTAATTAATGTAAATGAAATAGCGTAATAATGAAAAAGAATGAAAGAAAGATGTTAGTATAAATTACGATTGACTTTAATAACTATAAAAAAAAAACAAAAAAAAAATAAAAAACAAAAAAATGTTATTTTTATATACGTTAATAAAATTCTGTTTCCCTTATGGTATTATAAAATATAAAGAAAAATATTCTTCTATTTTGATAATAAATGCTAAGATAGAACTCATTTTGTAATATATTTATACTTCCAGAAAATTTGTTTGCAGCAAAATTGGATCAGCGTCAAAGAAGAAATAAATACTGACATATACAAAAGAGCG